CACCAAAAACTTTGGCCTGATAAGTTGCTGCTTCAATCCTTTTTGATAAACCAAAGTCTGCTAGTTTAATGCCGCCTAGATGGATTAATAACTTTCCTGAATGCTATCCATATAAAAAAAAATTATTATTAGATACTGAAAAGAATTGTTCATGATAAACAAAAGATTACCAAATCACGATGTACAATTCCTTCGTCGTGTAAACACGATACAGCACAAGCCAATTGGAATGCCAAATTATATTTATTTCCCCAAGAGAGCTTATCAAAATCCTCCTTCGAATAATTTCTAAGTGCACCTCCGTCAGTATATTCCATTACTAAACAATAATTTTTTAATGCATTTTGATTTTCTAAATTATATATTTATGTTTTTATTTTTTGAAAAGAAAAAAAATATATAAATATAAATAAGTTAAATAAAGAAGCGATAATTAACGTCATTATGTAAAAATGTATACCGTGGTTTGATGATGTGATCCCAAAAATCTGATGATATTGCTATGAAAATTAATTTCTCTTTGAAATTCAAACTAAATTATTATTAATAAATTTTAGCTTGATAAATTTTATAATGAATAAATCAAAATAGACTGTAACATATTATATTTGATTTGAATTACCTCTCGAACAAGTTCTTTAACAGTGGCATGGTTAAGGTTATGAAATGATTTTAATGCTAGATGTTGCATCGAACTTTTCCAATTTGCACGATAAACATTTCCAAAGTTGCCTGTACCTATCTTTTGAAAATTGTTAAAATGTTTATATTCATAGGATTTAATATTTTCCCTTCTTCAATCCAATTAATTAACTCATTTGAATTATTGGAAGTTTGCATTTTGTTTTATTTTATAGTGAGAAAAGTTATAAAATTTTGGAGAAAAGACAAGAAATGCACTTGGTAGATCAATCATGTAAATATCTTTAATATTGTTCGATAAGTAAAAGCAATAAAATTTTTGAATTTATTTTTTGTGAAACAAAGTAGCATTTTATCTACCCAATCTAAAAATACAAATTTCGATATTAGCATGTGTTACCCTTCATGAGACTCTTTTCAATAGATGGATTATGAATTTCTTCAATAAACGATGACTTAATCGATCATTATATCTGGTGAGAAAGAGTTACGTTTGCGTTGTTTCAATTCATGAGCAAGAGACCTGCTGAAGTGAATTCTCTTCAGATTATCCATTACATCACGAATTTAAGTATTTCATATTGTAACTCTTCGATAGGTTATAAGACGAGCATAGTATTTGTACAAATTGCCAACAAGCTAGCTTCATTATTTTCCTCCTGATTAGTCCGTTGTAAAGCTCTATTTAAAGTTTGAAGGCAATTGTACATTGGTCGAAAACCGATCGTTTTTATGGTAAAGAAATGAAGTAATCCTGAGACTTTTATTATTTTTACGTATTAAAATTAATGTGATATTTTTGGGGGAGACTTTTATCTATCTTTTTTTATGCTTAGTAATTTTTCATCCTTAATTTATATGAGATGATGCATAAACTAGCACACATGATTTACTTGTTCGTAACTTGATTTTAAATAATGGCATTTCTTTGTGTAGATTAGAATCGTTAAGACAATGTAAATATTGAAGGCCGTTTTATTTTTCATATGAATGAACAGTCGCCGCCTCGCAAGTTATACAAATGTAATCTATTTACTGGTTATGCGCAGTAAATAAAATTCTAGCTATATATTTATAGCGCAAATGCGCAGAAAAAAATCTAGCGTATTTCATTATCTTAAATTTTGCATAAACCAGAAATTTGTGATTGGTCAATGGGCAAATAAAAATTGCATGAAAATTTGCAAATTCCCCTAACGAACGGTTATGTGAGAGAAATATTTTTAATATTTGCAATTATAAATCACGATCTACATAACTGGTTATCATTTTATGATCAGTGTATATCAAATCGAAAGTTTCTTGGCTTGAAAAAACTGGATCAAAAGTCTTACATACTGCTCTTTTGAGGAATGCCGTTTTCCCTTCGAAATATAACATCTTCAACATAACATTCATAATATCTTCTTGAAAGGTATTTTTATTCTTTTTTTTTATCTATTTTATTTATATCTTTTATTATTAACAAGAAGCACGAAATATGAGTTAAGTGCAGTGCAAAAAAAAAGTAGCATCATTTTTATTTTACAAAAACTTCCTTTTTAAAAAATTTTTTTTTTTTTTGAAATATCAGCTTATTTTCTTAAAAAATAATAAAATATTTTTTGTATGTGTGAGGTAAAAAATAGAAACAATTATACAAATAACGAATGAAATTATTGCAACTATTAAAAGTTTGTCGTAAATTTTCACCCATTTAATAATTCTGTTCTTTCTTCGAAATTTTTGATGAATAATTCTATTATCTTCGTTTTTATACCATTCGTGTCGCTTTTTTTTGATTCTGTTTTAAAATAAAATGAAAGACATTAATTAGTATGTTTATCTAGCGAGGATAACAAAATTAAATTTTGTCAGATATAATTCTACCCCGACTTATAGCTATCTGGATTTTTCAAAATCATACTAGTACATATAAAGGGTAAAAGGTTATCAAGTAGCTGATAAAACAGGGATCATTTTTGATAAAATATCAATCTACATGATGTGATTTTTAAAAGTGATTATGAAGTTTAAGAGAATTCTCTCACTTTTTTTAAAAACAACTATTGACACTACTTCCATTTACAATTCTACCTTGTAAATAAATGGATTTTTATATATATACCTCTGTACTATGACCCTTTCACATCATTCTTTCCATTGTCGGTTCTTGGAATCATTTTGGATCCTAGTTCGTTTATTTAATAAAAATTTAGACTTCGGCTAATTTTTGAAGACAGGAAAAAAAAGAAAATTATAAATAATTATAATAAGGTTTACGACACCTTAAAACAAGTAAATATAAGGGAGTGTTTAGTACCTAGTTACCATTTATCCAACAATTACTGCCTTGGTCCTTCATTGAGGATAAAGAAAATAAATTGAATGAGTGGATATTAAATGGATACTATACAATTTTATAAAAAATATGAAAAAATGTGAATTTGTGGGATTCATGATCTTCATTATCGAATACCAATTATGGAAAAGATTAATTACGCATCCAATAATATCATTGGGAATTTTACAGGGATAACATAGATGACAATCCATGGGTATACATATAAACAACCAATCATATTTCATTGAACGATAATTATACAAAGTATACAGTTCACCTGACCGTACCCAAGATTTTCCATCCCACGAGATATGCACAATTTGTCACGCCATGTATTCTGAGGACTTGGAAGCTCATCACGAGATAGTAGTTCCAAAATAATAAATGTTAGTTAATTTTGACCATAACATTTTTTGCCCATCACGTCAAAGTTGAATATGCAATTTACCCATGAAATCTACATTTATATACCACGAATTGACTTTTGAAATTTCGGAAATAAATAGAGCAAGTGACCAAAGTAGTTGAAGAGATAAATGTTATTTTTGTTAAGAAATAGGTTGTGAACTCATAAATAAAAATCAAATTTCATTTATTTGACATTATTTATATTCTATTTGCAAAATTTACCACAATATATTTGCAAAGAAAGAAAGATTATGACGTCTAGAATTTATCAAATGACATGTCTCAGTAGGTTTAAACTATTTAACGAAAATCTAATGGGTTGATGACAGTCTAATTGGTTTGACACATAATTTTTATTCAGAATATACATATTCACTCTCAATAATTAATTAATCAGACCAATTAAAAAAATTAAATATGGTACCTCTGATTAGCCCATACGAATAAATGTAAAATCACCAATTTCCATATGTGATCATTTAACTAACACCCAACACTGCGGCGAACTTGTATAAATTTCACGAGTCAGTACCGAGTAAGGTATATTCTTTAATGGGAAACAAGTAGGTTTGAAAGCCAGTACAATTACACATCTCGCCACTTTTGTACAGTTTTTTTTTCAAGTTTACACGCTTGTTCTTGGCTAGACAACATAAACAAGAAAAATGAACAAGACAGTTGTTATGAGAGTTCGTAGAACCTTTCAGGTATTTATTATTTGAAATATTTCGAAATAGTTGGTATAGCTAACGAAAAAATATAGGACATTCTATGTAATAGAAAGGAGTCTTACAAGGAAATCGAGATTCAAGACCAGAAAAAAATATCTTTCCAGAATGCTAATTATCTTGGCAAACCAAATTACGATGATGGAACCGAATGTGTTGGGTCACCTAACAACAGTAAATGTAACGGCATCAACGAAAGAAGGGGGTAACATCGAATTTTATTTTATGTTCGGGGCATCAGTTCGTAGTGGAATACAATCAAGAACAATAACGAAAAATATTCTGAACAAAAGCAACAAATTAATAACAATGTCAAGGATGAGAATCATTTCGATATTACAATGGTGCAATTTGAGTTTTGCCCAAACCAGGAGAGAATCCGATCAATGCAACTATCCTTGGGGCAACTGTGCCGAATCCGTGCTTTGGCTGGCAATGCGTGGACGAAGGAGAAGCCAAAGACGCCGTGTCGTTCTTATGGTCCCGAACGTTCTACTATCGAAGCAAGAGTTCCGGAAACAATGTTGAATGTGCCGAACTCAAGATCGCAAAATTCCAATTCCGAAAAATCCGCTTATTTTAGTCGAAATGATCGCAAATAAAAAAGATCGTAAACGTGTTGCAAATTATTTTAACCGTGATGGAGGTGGGATCCTTCTATTATTTATATGATATAAAAATTGTTAAATGTTATGATCATATCATTATAATCGGGGAATGTTACGCTGGAATTCTTTTTCTGGATTGCTACGGTCGTGCATTTTTGGAGATTATTGGAGTGTGACGTCAAAGGCATCTCCGACTAGACGTTAATATGGGGTGTAGAGTACGATGGAACTGTTACAGAATTTGAGAACGCTTTGGATGGTATGTCAAGATATTGTTTATTCCTTTATTTGTCTTAATTTTTTATGATTAGTTTCTTTTCTTCTAGATTTACCTAATGAACTAGCCTTTGACAAACCTGCCACAAAAACGATTGATATTCACCCTGCTGCAAAGAAGAAAAGGAATTCGAAAAAAAACATTGATCCGGTTTTTTTATTGTGTTTTGATCAAGTATGATGCATTCTTTCGGATTTATATTTGATTTATAGTAATACATATAGTATAGAAATTTGCTATACATTGCGGCGTAATCAGCAGGCGTAAAGAATAAAGATTTATTACATAAATCTACTGACATTAATGCTTCATACCCAAATCATAAAGATTCCTGATTCTATTTCTACTATTTAATTCAATGCCTGTCATACTTCTTCCAATATGATCTTGAATAAAGAATCATATTATTAAATTTTACGTCAATTGCACCCAATAATTCTTAGGATGACGATCATTCTAGATATCAATTTATACATATAAGTCTAGTGTATTGTGACCCAAACCTATAAATTTGAATCATTTTCTATAGCATAGACTTGATATTCTTGCTTAAATAAAAATTAAAAATAAAAATTCTACCTTATTAAAAAAAAGAGAAAAAAAATAAAAAAAAAAAAGAACTAAAATATGTGAATATTATATATTAAATAAACGTAAACCAAAGGAAATATTTCATAGTATATTTTTATTAAAAATCCTAAAATATTTTTACAATACATACCTATAAACTTATATAATTTAAACAACTGTTAGATATTAACTTGAATGCTTAAAATAAATTAGAAAATTTTAATAAAATATACACAATTTGAATTAGTATTCTGTAAGGGTCAGCATAAAACTAATGATTACAGAACTCAAATTAGACTTGACCTGATCATTGTTTGACTCAGTTCAACCTGAGATTAACTAGAATTTCAAGGGTAATATTAATTCTGAAATAATAAAACGTCATATATAAAGTTTATTTTATTTTTATAATTGCTTATTTTCTTTTTTTTTTGTTTACATTAATTCTTAATTATTTTTTTTACATTTTTTTCACTAGGATTTCAAACACATACAAACACAAATTGTGTTACCTTTAAGACTGCATCTTTTGGTCGATATTAGATCAGTTCTGCTAGAAAAAACTCTTTCTACTGGTACACTTATTGCTTTATTAAAAAAGTATTTATTAATATTTAATAACCAATATATATATATATATATTTATATATTTTTTACCTGTTATCACAAGATAATCTCTAGTCATTATAGTTAAATTTGAATATTCAGTTTCATGTAACTACATTTTAAAATTGCAAAAATTTCAATTACAAAAACTGTTAATTATGAAATTGCTAAAAAATTAGATCAGTTCTTTGATTGTTGCATAAAAATTAGATACTTTGTCAATTCATTTAACTAATTAAATGTTGATATATTTTGATTAAATTTTATATAAAAAAAGTTTTATCGCATTTTTGTTTCTTTAATTGTTTAATATTTACAATTTTTAATCTTTTCTAAATAACAAATTCCAAAAATGCCTACTACAATTAAATGGTCAGATGATGAAATGCAATAATTGATCAATTTAAGAAGAAAAAGGAATGATGATTACTGAAGAAGATTTAGAAGATCAAAGTTACCTTTTTTGAAATAATATTGCGGTATAAATTTAAAAAAGATTCATAATAGCATTTAATAAATTACAGGTAAGAAAAAAATTTAAATTGTATTTTACAATAATAATTTAATAATTTTAATTCTTTAATAATTTGAATTATATGCTGATGGAAACGTGAATGCATGTTGGAGAAGTTTTTGGAAAACAATTAGAAATCCATTTTAGAAAAGACCAGGTTGGAATAGTAAAACTTTCCAATTGATATTAATTGAAGAAAAATTATTATTAAAATTCAATATTTATATTATTTAGCATCTCGAGTTCAAAAAAGAAGGCGTGCAAGATTGGTCACAAAAATTAAGGTAAGAAATTTATTTAGTTTAATTTCAATATTATTTTAATATAAATTTAAATTTATATTTTTTAGAATCATCAACTCCTCTTCCTAACAACTTCTCATAATCCAAAATTCATAACTTTTAATAATTCGCTTATTCCAACTATTTTCATTCTTTTTTTCTAACTATTATCACTATTTTTTCTATCTTCATAATTTTATATAATTAGTCAATCTTTTTTTTATCTATTCATTATCTTTGCTTATCTATTTTCACATAATTTTTTTTTTATAAATTTTTTTTCTAAATTCTGTTAAAAAAAATCTGAACAAAACTTACTATTTCTATGTATTATTCAAGATCAACAGTTATAGGTTAATCTATATCTGATTAAGAGCAAGCATACTTCATAACTTTAATTCATTAGTTATTTATTATTTAAATTTAATTGTTTTACATTATTTCAAACTTATTATATATTGAATTTGAATATGATATTCAATATTACTATATAATGAATAAATTGTTAAAATTCAGTATAAACATTACTGAATTTTCTTATATAATAAATTTTAACCTCCAAAAATGAAGATTGATTATAGTGAGATTCAATTGTATGTGAATTGGGATTTGATGATAAGTTTACTAAAATTGGAATTTTAATTTCAAATATCCTTTTTTGCTATCTTAAATCCAATTTTTTTTTGTAATATACTCAGAGAAGAGCAAATTATTTGTAGTCTTCTTTTAAAAATACTAAAATAGAGTAATAACTGACACTTTAAGGTTTTTTCATAGGTTAGCTTTAAGGCTTATATGGGAGCTTTGCAATAGAAAAGGAGAAAACTCTAAAAAAATTAAAATTTTATTTTCTAAGCTAATAATGATTTTTTTTGTAAAATAAGTCCAGATTTAACATTAATTCAAAAAAAAATTTTTTTAGAGTTTCCTCCCTTTCTATTACAAAGCTCCCATATGATCTAACTAACTTGATTACACATCTTCAGATCATATTATTGTTGGCTGTAAGATTAATATTATTAAAAGATCATCAAAATTGATCTACAAATTATTATTTGACTTAGTTGACAAATATGACAAATAGGTCATATTTGATTGATCTACCATATTTATCATATTTATCATATTTTTCAGATTTATTATATTTGTTATCTTTGTTAAATTCATTAATTATATATTATTTATTATATTTATCTTATTTATTATATTAGACATATTTATCTTATTATACTACTATTAGTTTATTTTTTATAAATAGTATGTATTTGTTTTTGAGTTAAAGAATAACTTGAGATAGAAATTTGTAAATAAACTAAGAATTAACTAATTATCTTCAAATAATAAATATTAATAAAAACGATCTAACTCTTCAATTAATTAAATTCATATATATTTCTTTCATAGTTGAAACGTAATTAAACTTCCTATTAGCAAATATAAATTGTTAACTTAACGATATATACAGTATATTAAGCTTAACAAATAGTAATTCCTATCAGGCTATTCTTTGTTGATAATATATATAACGTATCGCTGATAAACTAGCGTGATGTATAATTTTTGAAGAATAAAACTGATAATGGATTTAGAATATTTTATTGAAGAAAAAAATTATTTTGTGTATTTTGATAATACAGAAAGTACTAGCTGGAATTCTACTATACTTTTAGTTAATATAAAATAAAATGAAGATAATTTAACACTTTTTATTAAAGAAGATAATAATGGAATTTTGTATTTACATAGGTATACTTTTTTAATAAATGGTGAGAAAACATATTTTCCTTTACAAATAAAAGAAGAAGAAATTTCTATGATACATTTAGAAAAAAATTGGACTGAATATATGCAAAAACTATTTATTAAAGTAAAAGGAAAAAGATTTATCACTTGGCAAAAAAAAGATCAAAAATATTTGTCTAAAAATTGAAATTTTAAAGAAAAAACCCATTACCAAATGAAACAATATTTCAAGAAGACCTAATTTACTTCAAAGATAAAAAAGAAGAATTTATATTAATTGATTTAAATGAATATAATGAAGCAATATTCTTATCGCAACAAGAGATATCTTCTGATATTTTTATGTTAAATGTGAACAATTTCAAATGTCTTTTAATAATAATAATAATTTTAAAAATGAATTTGAAATGCAAACTTTTGATTACCTTTGTGAAGAAATATATGACTTGTATCAAGAAATGCCAATGGAAAATGATAAACTTGAATCTGCTACTACAACAACTTGTGAAGAAGAAGCAAATATTGATGACCTTCAACCAAGACAAATTTCTGAAAATATTCCTAAAATAGAGTATATCTGTGAAAAATTAAACCATTAATTCCTAAAATATTTAATAATGAACAATTGTTACAAGAAAATTCATTATTAATTTACTTACTGCAACAACTATCCCAAATTACTAGCATGAAAAACAGTTACCAACCAGATCTTAAGAGATTTCTTCAGGTAGAATATCAATGAAAATATGGAAAAAAAAGTTATATTTTACAAATCTAATGCACTACTAAAAATCAAAAATATATGTAACAAATTAAAACAAATGTCTCAGAAGCTATTTTCTCATGATCTATCGATCAAATTTCATGAAACAAAGACCATTATGTACACTGAGATGCGCTCTTCAAAATAATATGTATTACATTATGAATGGACTACTTTTTTTTTTAAGATATTTCAGATTGAGTGGTCAATTGATGCTTCAACCTCTTGAAAGAAGGTAGGTGTTCCCGTAGGGTCATAACGTTCGAATCACCCTTAAGCTTTGACCCCATTTTTCAGGAACCCTAGTCACCTAAACACATCCCCTAGGTTATGCCATCTAAGGTATGATATCCTAACCTGACATAATCCTATTATGTGGAGAAAGATATCTCAGCAACCCTGATACTATTAAATATGAATAGAGGGTATATAGCAGTCATAGTGAATGTTATCACTACTTTACCAACGATTTGGATGAACTATAATCAAGATCTAATTACTTGGTTTGACTTTGATATAAAGCGACCTTATGTGGCTTAGGCCCCGGGAGCTATCATATCTGTATAGACCACTTTTAACCAGGTGACATTGATACTCAGAATGTCAAACAACTCAGAAATTGAACCTGACCTCTAACTCTAGTAATAGCTCGATTTGGGCAAGTACTGCGGCATGCAATGCAGTCTAATTATTACTGGTTTATTACCCAATCTACTAATGTCTGGTCAATTACTTCCTTATTTGATACATGTAATCACTTCGACAGTGACCACGTACAGAAATATGGACCCCTGCTATGGTAGACATAAGATTGTATTCATAATAGGCCAATCAGTGAAGGCCAAGTTTCTGTTGATCCTAGGCTTCATTTGCATCTACTTATTCTAATACATGCAGTATTTAGGCATGATCAACATTAATCGATGGATTAATTAACCAAATTTGTATGCATATTAGTTTATACGTCTATCATTTCAGTTACAAAGAAATTCCTTATGGAAAATTATACAGTTTTATATATTGGCTGATACCTGAACTGATGGCCTATCACTGTGTAATAAACTTTTAGCTTATAGGAGACTCGCGGTTTAACTACTGAGCCAGGGCTGCCACACCTTTTACGAATGGACCACTGGATGCTAAGATAATCAAAATAATGTGCTAAAAAGTATTTGATAGAAAATTTTGATAGAGATTTTCATTACTACGTTACATATTGTGAAAGAAATTCTTAAAAATATTTTAGTAAAATAATAACAATATAGGATCACAATTTACTAGAAGAATTTATTAAAGGGCTAAAGGCGATAATATGCAAAACTTTATTAGAATATAAAAAAATTAAAAAAAAAACATATTAAGAAGACTATTTACTATAGAAGAAACAAAAATAATAATTTGCTACAAAAGAGCTGAAGCGTACAGCATCTCCTTGAGCAAAAAAAAAAAATTAATAGTATTTAATCATAAAAATGAACATTAAAAGGAAATTTATACTTAATCCTCATGAGGACGGCAAAATCTCACACGAAATCCATATTCTTCACTTCAATTAAGTAATTGTTATATGATAAATCTATATCTGCTATGGACTATTTCTAATATTTCTCATAATTGTTGAGTTGTGTTACTCTTTCTTGGGAATTTGTTTGAAAAAGATTTTTTCTTGTTGAATTTGAAGGAAATCTTGATATAAACTATCGCAAGCCTTTTAAAGATCTTAAAACCTATTTTCAGTTTGAAACAAAGAATCAGAAAATTCTATTAGATAATCATGTACTTGATTAAATTCTACAAAGAAAGTTTCTGTTTGTCCCAAAGAAATTGTTAAATTGTTCTTGTAAGATCGTAATTTTTTCATGACTCTATTGATGACCTATATATTAAATATATAGAAATAGAAACATTAGTCTATATGCAACTCGACTAAATGAAACTAGTCTAAGAATTTAGCTATTCCTAAAATGATAGTCACAGTTCAGGAACAGTTTCAATACAAAAATTGCAATTCAGGCATTTCACCAAATTTACTAGATAACTCACCTTCATTATATATTTGTTCTCTTCTCTTTTTTGCATGTTCTCTTTAACGATTCGACTAACCCTTTCTTTGTATTTGATGACAAGTATGAGTCATGATATTGAAAATAATATATTGACTAAAAAGAAAAGTAAGATAAATGAGAGCTTTACAATAGAATGGAAAGAAATTCTAAAAAAATTAAAATTTTTATTTTCTAAGCTAATTATGATTTTTTTTGTAAAATAAGTTCAGATTTAACATTAACTCAAAAAAAATTTTTTTTAAAGTTTCCTCCCTTTCTATTGCAAAGCTCCCAAATATCTATATTATAAAGCACTTTTATTAACTTTATTCAATCACTGATCTTTCAGTCCTTAGAAAGTATCAGATATATAGCGTCACTTCAATACTTTAATAAACTTAAAACATCACAGTAACTTTAAGTATTATTCGTTAAATCTTCAACAGAAAGAATATATTTTATCAAAGAGAAACAAAAACTAACAAAAGAAAATTGGCAATAATTTTAGTAATGAAAATTTTGCTATTGGAAAAAGAAGAAATTTAAAAGTAGATTTTTATATTTGAAAAAAAAATAAAATAAAATAAAAAATAAAAAAAATAAAAATAAAGGATTATCGATATCTACTAGATAGTGAAAATTATCAAACAAGAAATTTGTAAAACTTGATAAATCTTGTTTATGAATCGATAAATATAATGATCAAAATAGAATAAGTTAATTTGATTGAACAAAAATGATGTAATAATTTTGAAATTATCACAAATACAGTATTCAAGCTCAATTTGGTATCTACACATTCAAAATTATAGGAAGAAATATTGCATGATTTTTAAGAATGAGAAATAATGCAAGCACTTCTAAATATAGAAAATATTCATAATATTTACACAGCCCACCTTCAGAAAAAGTTTAGTTTGCATAATCAGTTGATCAAAAAGATATTTTAGATTATATTCAATTTTAAAATGATTTTTCTTGTAAATAATTACTTAAAAAACAAAAATATGAAATATTATTAATAGCATAATTATATTACAACATTTAAATTATCAGAATATTATAGAAAGATCTAGATCATTTATTTTCTCTCAGAGTTCGAAAATTAGTAGAGAAGAATTGTTGGCTGCAAGATTAACATTATTAAAAGATCATTAAAATTGATCTACAAATTATTTTTTGACTTAGTTAACAAGTATGACAAATTGGTCATATTTGACCGATCTATCATATTTATCATATTTATCATATTTGTCAAATTTGTTATATTTGTTATATTTATTATATTTATTAATTATATATTATTTATTATATTTATCTTATTTATTATATCAGACATATTTATTTTATTATATTACTATTAGTTTATTTTATCAGAATAAAAAGCTAAAGATTTAACTATGAGAACTGAAGCTGATCTTATGACTTTAGTATATCGGAATTGTCTCTTTGAAAAGGAAGTATTTCATGCAAAGAATGTTAGCATCTGATCAAAAGATCACAAATTATATCTAATCAAATCTGAGAAAAAGGCCTTATGTTCTATAGATACTAAGCGTCGGATCCTATTAGATAGAATAACTACTTTACCATATAGTCATTAGCATAATATTATTTATAAAAATATGGTAAAAGATGGTATATCTCATGAAGTGACTGAAAAAAAAGCTATAAGAGTCAAGCTCCCAAAGAAGTATCAAATGAATGTGCATCTCAAATATTCAGCTAACCCTAATAAGTTACTAGTGAAAGAGTATTCTATATATCCTATAATCTCGACAGAAGGAGTGTTATTATTATATATTTTTTTCTTGTATAATAAATATTTGGTTACAGAATACTTCTCTATA